CATGAAAGATAAGCAGAGTCGTTCAAATTGTTGTGTTACACTAATTTATAGCCTATTCCTTCAGGTTTCTTTAACCGTCATCAGAAAAAAATAAAAAAAAATGGTACCTGGAGTATTTATATATATATATATATATATATATATATATATATATATATATATATATATATATATATATATATATATAAATACACACATATAAATACTGTTATCCAAATGTATGTAGTTTAATGTGAGAATTTGACCAGCTATAAATAGATTTCCAAATCAAAACTCCACTGATCAGTCATAGCCACTATGAAATCTTTGGTTCCTTTTAAAGTTACACATCAACACATGAGTTGTTTCATCATGCTAACCCAAGGGAAAATATCTGCAATGCATGCTCCTGACACCGGATTAGGCATATGACTAAAAAAAAAAAAATTTTTTTCCTCTTTGGAATAAACTAAAAACAAAAAGGAGCAGCTGAACTCAGTCATGAATATTAGACTTCAATGTAAAACCAGCTGCTTGTCTCCTCTAGTTTGTAAAATAAATAGCCCCATTCACACAAAGGGATAAGGCTCCTCTGAGTAAAGTAGGCTCAGTAACAAACATAAATACATGTTAATCAAAGACTCTGTGACTGTCAGGATAAAATCACACATCATCAGATTAGATTGTATAAAAAACAGTCTGTGTTTATTTTTTGCAGCTCTACTGAAACTCAGCCAACACAGAGTTATGCAGGTTCTTCTTCAGCGAAAGCGGTGGCTCAGATGACTTCACAGGTGTGAGCGTGACGCTGTAGAGGTTGGTGATGAAGGCCTCCCAGCCGCGGCGAAGCGCTCGGTCAAAGGCCTGAGGAGAAAGAAGTAGAGGATGACATCCAGGAATTCAACCAAACATGGAAATTATAAAGCCCCAACCTATTTTAATAACAGGGTAATGTTTTCTTTTATTACTTTTTTTTATATATATATATATCTTGTGGCTTTTTCTTGTAAACCCTTTGGAGTTCGCTGGAAAACAACATTTCCCTGTTTGGAGAACAAGCTTCCTATTGTTTCTCAAAAGTGGTGCAGAGACACGTTGTTTTATCCTGAGAGCAGGGGGAAAAAATAAAGTCTGCATTAAGCCTGATACGAGTGGGAATATTTACATCTCGGAGTAGAACAAACATTAAATTCAGTAGCACCAACAATGTTGAATAGTTCTATTGGTAGCCTCAAACATCTGAATGAAATTAGTTTGAAACAGATGGCCAGGTGTTACAGGTACGGCTGCAGTTCAGATGTAAGTTTCTCATTTATTGCCAAGGAGCGCCTGATATAAATCATTGTTTTTGGTAAAGTGACCCAGTTCACTTTGACCTAGAGATAGCCAAATACAATCGTGATAATTTGCAATAAACAAAAAGCTTTTCCCTGAAGAGCTGAAAAAAATATTAGCATAGCCATGGGCTGTTATTTCCTGTTTTGTGGACATGCAAGTTAATAAAGAAAAACCTGTTTAGAGTTTCTAATGAAAAACTAAAAGGAAAAAACTCTGGGCAATCATTCTAGGGGGAGTGGCGGCCTAGTGGTTAGGGCATAGAGCTTGGTCACTGCTCTGCACAATGGCAGCCCACTGCTCACCACTGTTAAATGCAGAGAGTTATTTTCGTTGCTCTGTACTTTGGACGGTGCAATGACAATAAAACATGGGGGAAAAAAGTTTTAAATAAACTCACTGATATAGATGCTATCGAAGAACACTAAGGTTGAAGAGAATGTGGAACTGGTGGTTCTTGGAGAAATCATGCAAAAAAAAAGTATGTTCAAGAATATGTTAGACTTTTTACTTTGAAGATTGCTGTGTAAAGAATAAAGTGGGCAACAGAAAATCAAGAGTCAGAGATTGTGGCCACCTCCACGCCCACTCAGGTACAAGCTTAGATCTGGGGAGGAGAGTAACCCCAATCTTTAAATTGCAAGGTTAAGAAAAAATATTAATAGTGATAAATATTTTTACTTTAAAAAATCTAGTCTTTTTGTTAACAGTGTATTCTTCCTTGTGGGGCAGCCAGATTTAATTCTGACTTAGGGTCCAGTGAAAAACATATTTGGCCATTTTGAAACCATTACACAACAGGCTGAGAAGGTCCTAATCCGATGGTGCAGTGGGTCCGACTGCGAGGCTTAGACTGCTAGATTAACATCAGAGGAATGTTTTCACTCTGTTGGTTTGGTAGGAAGGCTCCCGTTTCAGTCTGCTGATCAAAGAACCGGACATCGGAGCCTCAGGAATGCCACCTCAGAGTGAGCGTGTCTCATTCGGAGCAGAAAATCTCTACGACATGAGGCTGGTGAAAGTACACATGTTCCGCTGGCCGCTGACCTCTGTCCCCTGGTGTAATTTTATGACCAACTGAAGTTGAGGTAAAGGAAAAATCCTAATTATCGTGTTAGTGATATGCACCACTGGCTGCTGTACTTTGTCCCATGTGGTGATGTATTAAGGTGATATGAACGGTTTCCTTGGTGATTAATAACCAGTGACGAGGCAGAACTTTGCCCTCTTGTTCCACAGACTCCGACTGCTCGTTATGTAACCATTAAAGGGATTAAAGTTTAACCAAGCGAATGGGATGTGGAATTTGTGCAAATGTGACATCTTTAAGTGACATAAACAATGTCTAACCTTCCGATAATTCTTCACTGCAGTCTTCTTCACCATCTTTATCCCTTCCTCTTGTTCCTTCTTTATTTTCCTTTCCTCCTCTGTCTCCTCTTCGTTCTCCTCTCTCCCCCTCTTGTCTCGGATCAGAACCCTGTCATCTGCAAACTCCCTGACTTTGAAGTGTGCCAGGTCAGGCTCCTTCACCGTTTCTTCCTCTCTCTCCACCTTCATCTTGTCTTCATCTTGGCTGGCCTTCTCGTCTTTGGCTTCCCCCTCCTCAACCTTCTCTCCCTTCTGCTTCCTCCTGGAGCTTCGTCTCCACCGGCTACTGAGGCGGTTGGGTTTCCTTCGCAGAAGAGTCTCTCCGTCGTCCTCAATCATGGCAAACACCTCCACATCTTCTTCTGTCAATGTGTTGCGTACCTCGTCAGAGGTTGAGCAGCCTTCCTTTATTTCAATCTCTACTTTTTCCACTATTGAGCAACCCCCGTCTGTGGAGGTCTCAGGCTCATCAAGCCGACCGTAGAAGCCGCTGGATTTATCCAGAAATTTCGGGGCCCGGACAGAGCTTCGGGTTGAGTTCTTCCTTGAGTTTTTACCAATTGTCATCTTCTGTTTGCTCTCTACTTTAATTTTCCTAAAAAAGAAAAGAGTTATCATTATTACACCATCCTAATTATCATTCCTTAAATTTCCTTGTTTTTTTTATCAGCTTATTTCACTCTCAAAGGCTCTGATACTAAAAAGAAATAAAACTAATAATCAGCAACATAAATGGGTTTTGATGAATAATCATGGTGCAAATTCCAGCATTATTGGTACAGGTTGTGCAGGCTTATCAGTGTAGATCAGCTGCTGTGGATAGTATGTACTGTGGGAGGTCACTGTCACTGTTATCAGCTTTGTGACTCCGGATGTCAAAACCAAAGGCGCAGTGTTCTTACAACGAAATACAAACACAGAGTCAGACTTTGATAACAAGCTTTCCTGGTGCAGGACAAACAGAAGCTAAAATCAATACCTTTAGGCTGATAGACAAGGTTAAAGACACGGTGGGCACCAACACTGTATAAAGAATTTGACACCGTTCGCAAGTTGTTATGAATATGATATAATTTAGACTCACATGCATCATGTAATGTCATAGCAGCGTCAGTGTTGTGTCATTGTAATATTATTCTATAGAAAATATGGCTTAAGTTGTTGGAGAGTCAAATAGATGCAAACATTTATGAATAGATGTTCATAACTATGCATTAGGTTTTTGATTGTCAGTTCTTTTTGCCTAAAATTTCCAGCCCTTCCTCTTTACCTAGCCTTGAGACAGGAAAGAATAGAGATGTTAGCTAAGACATTTAAAGGTATAGTGGAGGATGCTCTTTTTCTGGGTGGATCATCAAAATAAGTGGTCCTCCTAACTGTCAATCATTCTGGTGATATGTTTACAGAAGGCCGTCCTACGTGCTCGTCTTCATTTTCACTTACCGGCGGTGAGTCTGACATAGTGGAAAAATTGCAAATCTACTTTTGGAAAGTAAGCTTGCATGAGTGATGCAAACAGTAAATTTTAAACAGAGCGTGCACGAGGAGAAATTGACTCGTGCATGCCCTCGCACACATTTAATAAGTGTTCCCTCTAAAGAGCGGGAACATGTTGTGGATGTGCATTGTTTTTTTTTAAGTGGAGAGGGCGGGTCTTTTCAAAAATGTGTGAAAATCCTCCACTATACCTTTAATTGATTAATACATTTATTCATCAATTAACTTTAGATTGCTTTCATTTTTTCCTGTTTTATTATATTAACTTATTATTCTCCAGTAAGAAGCATGCAACAGGGACAACATTCCTGTGAATCGGGTAAAGTCTGCAATGGGAGGACATTTCTCTCTCTGCTCTGTCTGCAGCTGGGAAGGACTGTTATGAAATGACTGGGGTGCAAAAACAACTAGGATTTGTTCATAGTTGTTGAAACAGAGTCAATATGAAATATCTAAAGATATCAACAAAGTTATGAATGTGATGACAGAGAGTAAGCCAATTACGAGTACCAAAGGTTACATATGCATTGTTTAATTTATCTATGAAGCTTGAATCTAGGGATAGCGTTAAACCCAGTTTAGCTATGTTCCCCTTCCAAGTCAAAAACCCAGGGGATTTGCTAATCAAGCTAAAAAGTCATCTGATTAACTATTCATTAGATTTACAAGCTAATTGTTATTTTATTTTTTTTTTATTTAGATATAACATAACCACTAAAGCAGGGTGTTTAATATATTTATTGAGCAACAAATGATCAGGACTGCAGAGATTTTTTCCTGTTTTACATGCAAGACACTCATCCTGGCTTCTAAGTTCAGAGGCAGAGAGAAACCTGAGATTCTCATATTAAAATCAGACTCTGTTTAAGTTAAGCATTGGGAATCAGTGGCACAGAAAGTGTGTTACAATCTGTTAACATGTAATTTGTAAAAATGTAGGCATGCACATTTAAGTTTAGTCGTGTGTATTGCCCAGAGATTTTAGCATGTTCTGTAACCACAAAATTGTCATCATTTTAATTATTTGTTCAATATATTTCTTTTTTTTTCACTTTCAATAAGAGCACTATATCAGCTCACACATAATGTTATCTTAAGACAAATTAAACCCAGTAAAACCACAATGAATGCCAACTACTTCTCTATTTCTAAGGTATCCTTTAGATATGCTTCAGTGCCTAATGTTGGTTTGGTGTAGAATTGTACTTTTGTTTGTCTCTTTAATGGAAAGATTGTTTTATACGTGTTTATGACATGTGGCATGACATGTTTTGAGAGGCTTTCTGTTTGGAAAAGATCAGCCTCTGGCTCCACAGATTGGGGTCAATAAAAGTAATAGTTTTTCATCTGAAAAACACTGAAATTCTCTTTAATGTGTCAGAAGATGGAAAGAAGGACTCAAGATGATTTATTTTACTGCAGATCAGCTTAATCTGGGGTTTAGTTTTATTTGAGAAGATATAGATGATGGTATGTTCCTGTTTTTCTGTGTTGCTTCTTGTTATTTATGTCTCAAGATGAAGCGTCTACCACAGCTGATCAGGTGCAGAACCACATTGCATGCAACAACACCCAACAAAACTAATGGTCATGCAGTAAACACAGAGCAAATAATGATGTAATGAAAAAAGTTTGTTATAAAAATGTTATCTAATTTTCTTCTTTTCAGATGCCCATTTTAAGAATCATTCGTTAACATATAAAACATTATTACATTTATTTCTGATTTCAATCAACTTTATTTTCATTTGGCTTGGCTCATTCAGCAAATGTTAACTTTTTAATTGCTTAGCCATAAATTCTTGATTAAAACATAATATCCTAGTCGGATTAGAAATCATTAAATGTTTTGAATAACCCTGTTTTTCACCTTGAAACAAAGGCAGCAAATTATTGTAAAATAACTTTATATATTTTTCATTTAAACATCCTCCAAAAGTACTCCTTTCATATAATTCCTTATTGTAATAATTAGAATTGAGAGAAAGCCGGAGAGAAAGACATTTCTCTTACTCTGCAATAATAGGTATTCCTTTAAGTTCATGTATCAGTTTTAAATCTTACCTGATGTCCAGCTGGTGTCTCCTGGTTTCCAGCAAGCCTTTCACCTTCTCTATTTGTGTGTGTTAGTAACCAGGAACAGCTCAGTTGACTCCCTTTAACACAGCACGTCGCTCATAAGCCCCGCCCAAATATAAACGCCTGTCGTCATCATCTGAGCAGCTCCAGGAGCTATCAGGGACTCCTTGTGTGCTTCTACTTAAAGGAACATGCCTTGTCTTTTCAATCTTGGAGGTAAAATGATCTGCTCTGAACCCAAACTCAACTTTCCTCCAGAGAGATGTACATTCAGACTCGCTTCAGAAGATATAAGACATGCAGTCAGCGATTCATCTCTGAACCTGCTGTTATCAGCCACTTCCACTGAATGTTGAACCTGAACAGCTGTCAGAGTGATGATTTAGAGTTAGTCTCAAAGGTCGATCATCCGGTTGGCTTATAGATGACGTTATGGTACAACTGATAATTAAAAGGTAATTAAAACTGTCATGTGATCTTTAAAGCCTAATAAAATTAAGATATTATCAAAAATAAAACTGGAATGTTTATTTATGTGACTCTGAAGTTAAAGTGAATAATGTCAATAGATAATTGATCTGTAATGCAACCACCATGAGCTGCTACCTTCACCTGGTGGGGTTGTGCCCAAATGATCTTGGGATTTATTTTGTCCGAGGCATTACGCTCTTGGTAGGGTCTCCCATGGCAAAAGGTCCTAGGTGAAGGGTCAGACCAAGAGCAGCTCAGAAGACCCTTATGGAAAGAACAAAATCAAGGACAGTGACGTTGCCCGGGATGGTGCAGCCGGGGGCCCAACCCTGGAGCCAGGCCTGGGGTTGGGGCTTGTATGCCAGTGCCTGGTGGGCCGGGCCTTTGCTCATGGGGTCCAGCCTGGGCCCGGCTGGACCCCTGTGGACCCACCACCCACAGAGGGATCTGTAGGGTTCGGGGGCAGAGAGGACTGAATGGCGGTCGAGGTGGGGTGCTTCAACGGCCTGGTCCGACACGCAGCTTCTGGCTGTAGGGACGTGGAATGTCACCTCGCCGGATATAGGCTCACCTCTACGCAAAGCTAGGGTTCTGGATCCCATCTCCTAGAGAGGGGCTGGACTCCCCACTTCTCTGGCCTTGCCTGCGGGGAGAGGCAGCAGGCTGGGGGGGCCGTGGCTCATTGCCGCCCAACGTCACGTGTTAGAGTTCACCCCGGTGAACGAGAGGGTCGAAACCCTACGCCTTTGGGATGGGGACAGGTCCCTCACCATTGTAATATCAAATCTTCAAGACTTCTGCAACTGCACACATCAAATGTCCCTTGGGTCTGGTTGCAAACCAGCTTTGCTGGTATGCTTCTGCCCCGTCGGTCTGGAATTTCTAGGGATGCACAGAAGTTTCCCACCAAAGCACAAGGGGGAACCTATTCGAGAACTTGCAAGAACTTCGAGGGATTGTACTTACCTTCTCGATTAACCTTTCATCATAGCTGTAGTATAAAAATGGCGCGCCCCAGCACTGAATCGAGAAGGACAACCACACAGACACCCGCAAAGGCACACCAAGGACCAATACGGCGGCTTTTTGTCTGCTCACTTCCACTTGAGATCTGCGCGGTCAGGATTTTTATGAGGTGCACAACAATGGTTGCAGAACCTCTGGGCGTGGGGCGTGGTTGCGCACAGAGACACATTTGATGGTTGCAGAGGCTATGCGTCAGAAGCTTAAATTGGCCTTAACTATCCACCTCACAGCCTCCCCACAGAATGATCCTACCACCACCATGTTCCATAGGATTGGTGTATTCAGATTTATGAGTATTATTAGTTTATTTTCTTTTTTGACCTGAGGTGAAACAGAGAATAAATAACTCAGTTTTGTTCTCACCTAATCAGAGGACCCTCTTCCATGTGTTTGCTGTAATGTAAATGTAAATCCTTTATTGTCCCACAATGGGGAATTTCACTCTCTGTCACGGTCTTGGTTCTGTTAAGTTTTCTTTTGATTATTCAGTTTTACTTTGCTTCATGTTTTCTAGTTTTATTGGTTTAATTCCTATTTTGTTGTGTTTTCTGGATTTATTTGAGTTCTTAGGTTTTTCTTGCTTGCCCTCTGTTGCCCTCTTGTGTTAGTCTGTTTTTCACACCTGCTCCCAATCAGCTCATTAGTCCTGTCTTTGTTCAGTCTCCCATAAATACTCTCCTTGTGCAGGTTCTCAGTGCTGGTTCCTCGGCTCCTCGTTTATGTTTTCCCTGATGTCTCAGTGGTTCTGGTTTGTTTCACATTTTTAGATTGGATTTTTGGATTCCTGCTTCTGTTGCCTGTAAGAACTCAATTTAAAACTACAATAACTCACCTCTGCTTCCTCACCTCTGCATTTTGGTCCTCAAAAACCACAACCAAACCCTGACACTCTGCATTTAACGCATTCCCTTGGGGAGCCGTAGGCTGCCTAGGGAGCAGTTTGGGGTTAAGGGTCTTGCTCAGGGACCCAGAATGGTAATCCATAGGATTGTGTGGGACTGGAACTCAGAACCTCTGGGACCCAATGCGTCTCCTGCATTGTTTCCAGCTAGCTTTAGACAGGATTTCTAAGGTGTTTTGTTCATGAAATGCCTTTGTCTTGCCACTCATCCAGGATGTTGCGTGTCTCCTGATTGCCTTTGAGCTGTAGGTCTCTGTAGCTCCTCCAGTTACCAAGAACCAACGGCTAGCTCTCAGGTTTACACTCTCCTCTTTCAGTAAGTTACCTCAAACTCAGGTTCTCGAGTGACCTGTAACGTTTACGTGTGTATCCACCTTAAACTTAATCCCATAATAAGGTAATTAGCACTAGTCTCTGGAGCGTGACTACTTGCTAAGGAGGTACTTAATTTATTCAGAAATGAATCTGGGTGTGACCAGGAACACATTAATGACACGGGTCCTTGAGAACGTGAGTTTGAGACTCCTGGTTCAGATAGACAGCCATGTGTTGGTAGATTTGTAGATATCTCCCACTCTTCTATCATAACCTAATCCTGGCTTTAACTTCTCCACAATGTTATCTCTGACTCCTCTGCTGCGTTGCCTGCTCTTTATGACCTTTACAACCCCTATGAATTATAGTGATTCAATTAAAGCTCTGGATTTTATTTTGAAATATTGGAGTGAACACAATTACAAATGATTACTTTGAAAATATTATATCTTCTTAGTAATTATATCTTCTTATATCTATACAATCATATCCTCAGTAGCTTGCACCAGTGTTGTTATAAACTGACTTGATGGCTCCTTTCAAATAGATTCCTTACAGTGAGCGGTCACTTTTAACATGCATTCCTTAGATATTATAAGAACATTTAAAGCCTTGGCTGAGCAGATGGATGTTTGTGTAAAATAAGATAAGGAAATGACCTTTTATATTTCTGTTTGGAAGGTAAATAGTGAGTTTGGGAGGGACAGGGAGTGGGGGTGATTTGCTTTGTGTGCACTAAAGTACTTATCTCAATGCCTGCTTGATTCAAGTCAGGATGTACTAACAGACATACATGTTTAAGTATGAAGGCAAAACATTAATTCAGCAAAGCTTGACATGATTTTAAAAACAGAAAGCTTCAAACTGAGGTTGTTTGTGTCTAATACAAAAAAAACACTTGAATGGGAATGAATCACCGTCGACATAACCGAGTTCTGACTTCAGCTCCTCTTACTCATGTCCTAATCCTCTTCAAATTGTGTAGTCATACAGCAGTGACTTCCCCACAGAGTGGGAGGAAACAACTGTCAGTCACTGCGATCAGTTGAAAGAAACCTCAGGTGGGTTGAGGTTAGAGGAGGGATGATGCTGTAGGCAAAGACATGTCTGGGTGATTAAATCTGCAGGTCATCAAACAGCTGAAAGGCAGGATGGGCATGCAGTCGCAGACAGGTGAGAGATGACAGGTGGGAAAGAGAAAAGTCCTCACGAATGTGATGCACACCCCTCAACAAGCTCAGACAAAACGGAGGCCTGGGTTACAGAGTTTTCAAGATATAGAGAATGACTAAATTGTTAACATTCAGAATGCCCTGTCATCCATCGGACATGAACACAAAGATTTAAGTCCATCTATGTTTTATGTTAGATGTTACTCATCCCGCACCAAGAACAAACAAAAAAAAAAATAAAAAATGGAAATAAAGAAATTTCTCCCAGGTCATGTTCTTCCATTTTAGTTTAAGTTCACTTAGACAGATAAAAAACAAAATCTCATTGTGTTTACATAGGCTGAAATGCTTAGGTCTTTTAAATGCCTGCTTTCTTACAACAAAATCAGGCTATGCTTCATTTAAAATCAATTTACTAGTAACAGAGTTTACCGTATATAGACGATATACTTCACTTACAATGATCAAATACTAGGTTGTGCACAAGCTTTTTGAAACACAGAAAGGAAGCTTAAATGAGGGGGGTCTGTATTCTAGGTCGGTAATCCTCACATTCCATGTAGATTTGAAACTCACTGCACAGTTTATAGTTAATTAAAATCCATTGCTGCTTCCTGTCCTTTTCTGAACATCCTTTACATAGGCTGAAATGGTTAGGTCTTTTAAATGCCTGCTTTTTTACAACAAAATCAGGCTACGCTTCATTTAAAATCAATTTAATAGTAACAGAATATATATAGACGATATACTTCACTTACAATTATCATTTTCAAATACTAGGTTGTGCACAAGCTATTTGAAACACAGAAAGGAAGCTAAAATGAGGGAGGTTTGTATTCTAGGTTGGTAATCCTTGCATTCCATGTAGATTTGAAAGTCACTGCATAGTTTCTAGTTAATTAAAACCCATTGCTGCTTCCTGTCCTTTTCTGAACATCCTAATGTAAATCCTTTTATTGTCCCAATGAGCCTGCTGGTTTTAGAGGTTTCTCTGCTTTAGCAAAGCTGATTCTGATGATTGCACTTCAGCAAAAGCATGTTAATCAACTATCAATGTAAACCAGCTGTGCTAGAGCAGGGAAACATCTAAAACCTGCAGGACAGCGGCCCTCGAGGACAGACTTTGGGTATGCCTGGGTTAAGGGTTTTACTCAAGAACCCAGAGTGTAGGCTGTGAGGATCAAACACGGTTATTGCAACCTTCTCAGAGCACAAGCGCACTGTTCTACCCACTAGACCAACACTCCTCAAATAATGAATTGTCCTTCAATTAAAGGTGACTGTTCTGGTCAAATATTTGAAACTGGGCCACATAATGTGGTTGAACAGGAAAACATAAAAAAAAAAAAAACATACAGCCTGGTTCCTGAACTGATAAAAATGACAAACTTTACGCTTCTGGAATGACACAACCCCATTAAATATAATAAACTTGCTCATAAAATGTGATTTACATTAGTTGTTTCCTATTTAAATGTCAAAAATCTTAAGTTTATCCATATATTCATGTCTGTAGCTCAGTTTCTCCCCCACAGCTTAAGACCAATTGAACAAATCAGATCGAACATGTTTACATGATGTTTATTTACAATGCCTGAGTCAGACATTATCACACCGTACAGCGAGTAAAACGTATCACAATAATAAATACACAAACACCAGTACATAAACTTCCTCACAGGCACTATTTTTTTCTGTAGCAGGCACAGGCTGTTTTTACAGTGATAGTGTATCGATCTTCAACCTAACTGATGAAGATGATGGCTCTACAGCTAAAACTACTGTTTATATACAGGAACCAACAGAGTGCTGCCTGTTACAGCCAAATTCAGGTGTTTTCCAGATGGAAAAAGCAACACATTGTGCCTTTTTCATTTGCTTATTGCGGGTTGAATAAACTTGTTTATGAGCATCAGCAGTTTTCCCCTCATCAGTCAGGAGTTTCTATGGTCTAAGTGGTGCAACACGTAAGCTCTAAAGCTGCTTCACGTCAATCCGTTCGATCCTAGAGTTGAGTCACGCTACAATGTTGCATCCGATTGGAGACAAGATTGGATTTGTTTACTGTATTGCTAAAAAAAAATAGCTAGCGAGTTTGCTGTAGCTCTTATTGCTGGTAAAATGTTACAAATGCGCTACCTTGGCTCAGAAGAGTTTGAATATAACCAAAAATGTCCATCATTAGATGCTTTAGAAAGCATCTAGACTGCAGTTTCACACATTACACATGCAAAACGAAAGCCGTGCATTAATATACGTTCATGAATCTTTAAAATAAAAAAGATAGAGGGAGGAGAGGTTAATGGCAAACCACAAAGAATCTAAATATATCCATCGTGTCAGGTACAACTATGGGTTTATTCTAAACAGAGGTGACATGAAAAGGCTCTCGTTTGTATATTCAAATAGAGCATGCAAGACAGCCGGAGCAAGAATTGCCACCATCCTAAGGATAAAACCAAACAGTGTACACACCCCTGTGTTGCAGTGTATCATCAGTGTAGAATTATAATGAATTATTAATTTAGGTCTTCAAAAACACTCATTCTTGATGCATATTTGAATTGAAATTATTTTACATTTTTTTTATTTAATTTTAAAATAAAACATAGATTAGTATCTATCTGATAACTTAATTGTGTTTAAAATTGTGCCACTTTTGTTTCCTGGTGAAAATGAGGTTTTAAACTGTTTACATTAAGCGCCCTCTTCAGGCAATTGCTTAAACTGCAATGTCTAAGTCCTCAAATCAAACCTGCAGTAACGATGATTCTATAAACACTGAAACATTAAGGTGTCACACTCGTTTAGTAGCTGAACCAAAACCAGACAGTCACGGTGATGTAAACATGGGAGTTTTTTTTATAAGGGGATTCCTTTTAATGCTTCTGTTGGTGTTTAGATGCTCAGACTTCCACAGCGGGATCTGAGCCCAGTCCCTGCACCTGCAGCGCCTCCTCCCTCTTCATCTTCGGTTTCTCTGTCCGGGTGTGCCAAACCAGCACCTAAATATCAAGAGCTAAAGTTAGCAAACCCAAACTGTTCTCTATGACTAGTAAACTTTATCCATAAACTTAAAGGAATCATTTTCTTTAGTAAGTGAAAGATTTAGTTCATAATTTGTAAAAGAAAAAACAACATTATGGAAATGGGTAGCATCTCGTACTTTTGTGCAGTTGTCTGCTTTGGGCTCCAGCTCATCCATTGTGACCAGACCTTTGAGGAGGCTGCTTTCCAGGAAACCCATGGGTGCTTCTCCGTCAAAGCAAGCATCTGGATTGGCCAGGACCAGTTTAAGGGACACAGCAAAGCCAGCCATGTCCATTGGGAAGGGCCGACTGGGCCGCCAGCCGGTATGGAAGCGAACCACCTGAAAGGAAGTATGAAGGTGAAACTCAGATTAGGTTACCAATTATGAAGCTAACTGGGATTTAAAAGTGTGGGACGTATTTCTGTGACAATTAGAGTTACATTTTTTATTTATTTAGTGCAATTAGTCCGTGGAGAAAACGGCAAAACATGCATTTGTTAGTATATCTTTTGTTCCAAAAATGTACTTGCTCAACATAATTCTTAGCCAAAGTGATAAAGAGCCAGAAGCTGCAGACTCCTGATCTCTGCTTCTTTTTCGGCAGATGGCTGCTCACACCGAATCTGGTTCTTTTCTTCCTGGTTAAAATGGAGTGTTTCCAAGCATGTTTGGTATGAAGGATTGCCTTTGAATCAATGAGTCGATGCAATCAACTGGTTTTCCTTAGAAAACTTTGAATCAATTTGACTGCATGATCTGGTTGAATCGTCTCTGGAAAGTTACTTGAGATGACATGTGTTGTGAATTGGCGCTATATATATATGAACTGAATTTAATTGATCTATATGAATTATTTCCTTTAAGGAAGATCAGATGAAAGTCAGTTTCAGGTTGAAATAATTTCCAGGCATAAAGCAGTTTGAGGGGAAAACTATACCCCTCCTGGTAAAGATTTGGACTTCATTTAAAGCGTTTAACTTGCACAACAAAAGAAACGCAATTTATCAAACTGAGAAATAACAGCGTACCTTCCCTCCTTCAACCACAGGGCTCTCAAATTTCATCCCACCAACCAAACCTACTGGCCACACAGAAACGCGCTGAGTGTTCCTCATCTGTGGAAAGAGGAAAAGATTGTTAAGTATTTAGTTTGGAATGGAAATGACATCTAAACACAATAAAAATATTCACTTACCTCTTCAAACAGCTGTAGGCTATACGTGTTATCATCGTCTGCGAAGTAAACCACACCCTGCTGATCATCCGCCCCTGTCTGAGTCTTTCGGTCTTCTCTGAGCCACCGCAGCCCTTCGTTTCTTTGCTCAACGCCGCGGGGTTTCAGCCAGCTGGGATCACCCTGAAGCAAACAGCGAAAAACAGTTAGAAAGAGAGTGCTAAAGATAAGTAGCATGCTTTAGAGCCTCACCTGCACCCACCTCCTGAAGTTTGCGCTCCTTTGCAGTGGGTATGTGCAAGTGGGTGTAGGTCAGGCCGCTCTTCATCAGGAAGTTGGTAACAAGTGCCGTCTTGTGCTGCGAGTCCTCCACCACGATCCAATGCAGCCGAGGGATGTGGAGGAAAGTCTGGGACAGACGGGTCAGCTCAGCCTTCTGCACCAGCCTGCAAAGAGAAGGAGGGAAAGGTTGATGAGAACTGAAGCAGCAGCTCAGGGAGGCAGATCGGTCCGAAGGAGGGATACCTGGCATATGTGGGAGTGATGACAAAGATAGTGGGCAGGGAGGACTTGGGAGGTTGCTTCTCCGGTTGCTTCAGCTTCTCCAACTGCCTTATCTGGCCCTGGAGGCGGTAGAGCTCCTCCTGCAGCCTGGATATGGCACGATCTTTTGGCAAGTCATGCTCTGAGCAGTCGCAGTGCTGGCCTGGAGGACAGGTGACATTTCTACGCATGTAGAGCCTTGCAAAATTATTCATACCCCAGAAACGTTTTCCGACTTGCCACATTAAAAACACAATTCAAAAGACAGGCAAAAAGTAGTAAATTATTTGAAATTTAGGAAAATTAAATAGTTTTAAACATTTTTTTTAAGTAAAGATATCCCAGTTTATGCAAGAACCTTAAGAAAATGTTATTTTAATGGATACATATGCATACTATTGTATAGTAAAGAGCACTAACCGAGCTGCATCAGTGCATAGATCAGACCCATCAGGGACACCATGAAGTAGAGCACAAACACAGTCTTCAGCTTCAGCTTCATTCTCGCTGCCATGGTAACTGTGAGAGCAAAATAGATGAGGTTTTAAAAGGAAGCAGTTTCTTGCCACAGCAGGTTTGCATTTTGTCCCCCTGAAGCATCTGAGCTTTGATTAACACGATGACAAATCAACGGTTACGCTAATTAAAAGAGAGAGGAAAAAAAGCTCGGCTAACTATTAGCATCACTTACCAGCTGAGGGAACGGTGGCGATAAACCTAAAGCTTCATGTCATCTTGACCAGAGGTGAACAAATGTGGCTCACAGTGACTAAACATCCATTCATTGGGTTCTATTCAGGACATATCTGCAGTGAGCGAACTACACCAACAACGTCCGGTGCGAGCGTAACCCCATAAAGAGTCCCACTGGAAACATGGACAAAAGGTTCCGCAGAGGCAAATCAAGATAACGTAACCAAACTTTATTTAACAGTTAACTGTTGAATATCCGAGAAACTATATAAGATATTTCATAAAAATCAAAATCCTATTTTTAAAAATCCTATAAATTATACATCAGTATTGGGGTAATGATATGGAATAAAGGTTATATCAGGGGTCATCGACGTAGTGCCCGTAGGGGCCCTTTACAGTCTTCTAGTTTATTTTAATCTATAGCTCTGCTTTTTAAAATAATTTTAGAGCACTTCATTATGTCAATCATATGGTGCATTTAAGCATTTATAGGGATTTCAAAGCAGCAACATCTGAAAGAAAATTTGAAATGAAAATAAACAAAATTATGTTTATTATGTATGACATTAAGGTGAAAGCTAACCCCTCCAGTTCATAGGTCAGTATTGGTAGCCCTTCCTATGACTGTGCCTATAAAGTAGCTCCAAGCCTAAAAAAGGTTGATGACCCCTGTTATAGACTATTTTGTATTTTGATTTTTCAAAAGCAGATAGTCTAAAAAAAATGTATAAGTAAACAAAAAAGAGCTGCTTTAGAATGAAAACCTTTTTAAATGAGTTTTCTTCCAGCTTTTTTTTTTAAGTTACCACCATCAGAAACCTGCAAATGTCTTAGTAAATTAAGTAGCTAATAGGGGAGAAAATAAGACAAATTAGGCCTTAAAATATATATTCTCAACAGGAAGAGCATGTCTAATTATATATGTCAGTAAACTACTACGTTTTATAGAAGACAGCTTGGTAGACAACTTAAGGACAAACTTCTCTGGTGTCTTGATCTAATGAAATAACTGAAGAAGAGGCCTTTATTATGAAGTCAGACAACTTTCCTTTATTTGTAACATACAAATAAAACACTGACAAGGCAGAATGACTTTCCCTTTCATTGTCACGGAAACACGCAATCTCAAACATGGCGTTTGCCTTTATTCAACATCATCTTTTATAAAAAAAAAAAAAAAAAAGGCCAAGAAAAGACGAGAGGATGGATCCACAACAGCTTATATATATTTATACTTATGTACAGACAAGATACGAAAACGAAGAGAAGGATGTGACACATGGAATAGGAAACAAAAATACTCACTGGCTTCAAAATAAAACTGGTAAGGATTTTTCTTTTTTAAACAACTCCCCAGTGAGGCTTTTTATTTAAAAAATAATAAAATAAAATACAGCCTGCAGCAGATCTAAATTTACTCTCATGCAATGTCACATTTTTAAGGAACTGGAACAAACTAAAACCGAAGAAGTTACTTACAGGGATTTCAGTGTTTTCACTATTCAGGTTGTGTTTACAGTTGTATTTTTTAAATGTTCTTGTTTACATATCAAACAGACTCCACATCTGAATCAACAGGAGGCTGTAAAGATGACCGACTGACCTGAGAGAGAGAGACTACACAGAATTGTTTTAACATTATGGTGTAAAAAAGAAAATAGTACAACTAATCACATTGCCTGGTCCTTCTGTCATTTCTTTTAATCAGTAAAAGATAAAACTGTTGTTTTTGAGTCAAAAAAAAAACTGAAAGCCCCATTTTATAAATCCTCTCATAATCAGTTAGTAATACATTTATTGTAATGATGAATGACATATCTGACCTGTTATTTGCCCACATTTCAGCCTCCAGTTTCACATTTTTACAACAAACCGTACAAAAACTTGATAGAACCGCTTATAGGAATAATTTTTTAAAAAGCAAATACTTAAAACGTACCAACTCAAGGCCGTCACTGTGATGCAGGATGGTGCATGCGCACATTTTCAACCTGAACAACGCACTAGACGTAAAAACTAGAGAGCTTCTGGAGGCAAGGAAAGCAGCGTTAAATAAACGGGGTTGCTGGATTCACAGCTTGTGTTTTTCTTTCTTATAAACAGATGTGGAACTATCCTAGAACAACTTTCCAAATTGATGCACATGTGTAGAATATCTTTTCTTGCGGCTTACTGCGACTCTAAATGAATCTTAAACTTCATGCAGCTGCAGGTCTGGCAAATTTCTGCCGTTTAAAAAAAAAAATGCAAGTAATTATAAAGCTGGGATTAGACCTGTGTTGATATTTTGGCTTTTGGACAGCAGTTTTAATCATGCAAGAAAATAAATACCCTAAAAACAAGTTAATACTGAGAAACAGAAGGAGTGGTGCTTCGTTTCTATGCTCAGGACTGATTCTAACCACCTAATTCTGAGCAAATCAATATGATTTGCTCAAGACAGCATATTTAGGCGAGAAAATGTTTTGAAAGGAGCTACTGATCAGGTGATGGTTTGCATTCCTTTCACAATGAATATTTACAGAAGCATTTCTTTCCCCCCAAGGCCAATTACCAACTTCCATGAAATTGGGCCACATGTCTGCACTAACAATGAAATACAGGCTCAAATATTTACCTACATTATCATTATTATTTATGGTTCTCCTTTAGCAAAAAACACCTCAACATGTCATCTGATATGGAGTCGTTTCTATAACTACTTGGTTTTCTGGAAGCATAATCAACATAAAAGCCAAACCTGTTTAGGGTGAAGTTTATTAATAAACGCCTTTTATACATTAATTCATATTTCCTATTAAGGAATGGCCAACTCCAGAATGGACTTATCACATCGCTAAAATTTGCCCACATCAGCAAACCAAATTCATGTAGTTAAAAGGTTATTATTGTCACAATAACTGGGGGCTTTATCTTGATGACAAAGGGGAGTCTGTCATGTACGGTGGTGGCAGCATCATGCTGTGGGATACAATGCACAGCATTGAATAGATGGAATAAGGAAGTAAAAGGAAAAAAAATGTATTTTTAATTAGTTCTATAGTTAGAGGAAAATACAAACCTACAGAAAAGGATGTGTTAGAAGAGGGTGGGGGGAAAAAATGTATACACGCATCCAAGCTTGGTCTGGAAGGTTAAAGCAAAGCAGGGTCGAGCTTTTGGAGCTTGAGCCGCCCCCGTTCCAATCCTGTGGAATATTTGTGAATCAAAAACAGAAAAAAAAACAACCAATTTAAACAAACTCATCCATTTCTCATTCAGCCCGTTTATGCATTTAGTTTCCGCTGTGTGAAACAGAATTTAAACTTTGCACTGTTTTTTTTGTTTGTTTGTTTTTTTTAATCATTGCAGTTTGATAATTATTTAAACCTGCAAAAAAAAAAAAAAGTCCAAACTATTGATTAGAAGGCCAAAATGAATGCCTTTAATGGCCAACTGTATGTAAAGTTGTGACCTGAGCTCTGAATGCAGCATTAACTCTGATACCCAGAGCTCTTTTAAGTGAAGCTTGTTCTCTGATGACTAAAAATAAGAGCAGGTCTGCTAGGATCATCCAGAACTTTGAGACTAAGAGGAGAGGGAAAAGTAGAGATGGCAACTGAAGTGTGGGTTTCAGTAAATAAGCTTTGTTTTCAACATAAAGTATTAGAGAGGAAAGGAAGGAGTGGTCTACTTTTCAGAGGTTAAAAATTGCATTAAAAGCGAAAAATTTGGATTCAAGCAGCTTCCATGTAAATAAAAAAGGGGAATGATGAGGGGGCAAAGTTTACGAGAAACTGAAAAATTCTAAACTTATTTGAATGTTAGGTCTGAACTCAGCACCCGATATAAAGCTTTCCAACAGACTAGAGGAGACAAACTCTTCAGAGGTGGAACGAGCACCAGAATTTGTTCAGTTTAGGAATCAAAAAGATTCATTGCCATGTGGTACCAAAGGAGTTGGAGCAACACTGGTTTTACTTAATGTCTGAGAATAACTGACAAGTATGAGTGGATGGAGGAGGAATGGGGGGCAGGTCGATAAGTAGAAGAGAAAAAGCTTGAAATAAACAGAAACAAAAAGACACACAAACAGAATCCTGAAAAACAGTTTTCTGCACCTCTAGCCAGGAGTTCCCCCTACGGCTTATTTAAAATAAAAAAAGAAAACGCTCCGTCATCCACATACAGCTTTCGAAAGTTGTCGGATTGCAGCCGTTAGCGAGTGCTTCCTGATAGCAGCGACCTTTTAGTGGCAGCAGCCGCCGCAGTGCCCACCGCCGTGGGTGTGGCCCGCTGAGGCCTCGCCGTGTTTGGTCCGCCTGCTGAGGATCTCATAGGAGCAGTCGTCGCCGCAACAGCCCGACATGCTCGGCGAGGTCTCGTCAATCTCGAACCTGGAGGCAGAGGAGTTTGTTACAGGAGCAGGACACGCACATCGGTAGAGCCGGGGCAGAAACTAGTTAAAGCGCTGGAGCACATCTGGTTTCAAGATAGATGATGACCCTTAGTGCTCTACCACATTTACCAAGCGCAGCATGAAAAAATAAAATGTGTAGGGAGATCTGGAGGTGTGTTCAATTGTGGCAACCAACAAACTAGACCAGCTCAGTCAGAAGGAGCGACAAAATACCAGCAAAACATTAGGATATTTGTGGAGACAGAGAAACTGAAACAAATCAAAGTTACCGTATTTTCCGGACTATAAGTAGCTACTTTTTTTCCAACGCTTTGAACCATGAAACTTTTAAGAAGGTGTGGCTTTTCTGTTGATTTTTCTCTGACTGCCAGACTGAGAAATCAAAGTTGGAAATAAAGGAATAAGGGGCTAAGTTTCATTTAGCACAAGATGCTAGCAGCAGGCATGACAGAGAACAAATGTCCCAAATTCACATATTTTGACATTTATTTGCCGCATTAAAGCTGCTGAACCAATGAAGAGACTGGGCTCAACTCCTGCTGAGCTCAAATAAAGAGCAGATGAAGCTCCATCTTTCATTAGAGGCGCTTACTGCAGTGAGCCAACAAGCTAACGGTAGCTAGCATTCTTCTTCGTCCCCACTCCAGTAGATATCAGCAGCTTACAGCCTGGTGCAGCTTATAGATGTGCGTTTCCAGGTTTGTTTGTTTTTTTATAGTGACGGGCGCTCTATAGTCCAGAAAATATGGTACA